TCCCGAGATATCCGTATTCCGCCTTATGAGGACAGTCAAGCACTGGGACTCTTGTGAGAGACAGCTGTAATTCCGCCTAGCTTTGACCGCATTCGGAATACGAGCCTGTTGTGTCGCCCTGTTTATATTACAGGCCCGCAAGTGCGTGCCGAGATGCCGGGCTGAGATATTTATTTCAGCTCTCATGTCCCTCATGCAATGAAACATGCTAGCTGCTGCACGGGTTTATTTACTTCTTTAATGGCGTTCCAGACATATGCATTGTGATGATGACTGTAAAAATAAGATAGAGCTGTGAGAGCCTGGCAGTTATTTGCTGAATAGGATCACTGTATTAAACACTCTTAGTTACACTTCTCAAAGTGGATGCAAGTTGATTTAGAGCGGAACAGATTCCGTGTCTCTAACCTTGCTGGGCTGTCGGACTGGCCTTGGATTCCGCAGGCTGTCGGATAGGACATTCTTATCTTATCTTCAGCGAGATAAGCCTATCTGTTATCAACATGTTATCTGTTATCAAACTGACATCTTTTGAAGTTCTGCTGCTTTTATTTGCACCTAAGAAGTTTGAGCCTTAGAGGTTCTTAACAGAATAAAAGCAAACTCATTGTATTAAGGAAGAGACTTGCAGTTCTTAGTACTTAGAGAATAAGAAGTATTAAACTACTTATTATAATAGATACAATTATATAGAATATACTCAAAAATCATAACTGTTTAGGGTAAGACAGCATTACGCTGGGTTGAAGCTTTACTTTACTGTACTCTATAATAGTATGGCTTTCCATTACTTAAAGATTCGTATTTTAGATAATTTAGGTCTTACTAAACAATAATGACTCCATCTTGTCTAGGTAAATATAAGATAAGTACAGCCTGGGAGAGAATTAAGCCAGGGCCGAGTTCATTCTAGGTGGATTTCGGTTACTTGTCTCGGTGAGCGATAAGAAAGTGGAGTTACTCAAGTCCGCCATCCAATCACTGTCTTTGCGCTACGGTTAACTTTGCCAAATCAAGCATGTCCTGGAAGCATTATCTCGGTGGAACCTCTTCCCCGGAATCGAATGCGGGGTAGCGAGCTCGTTTAGGCCCTGTAAGGGGTTCTTCTAAGACAACGTTTCCGAGATGTAATTTTCATCATCACTCTGTAAATGCAGCAGGGCTCTGGCTATGACCATGACTGACGAGTCAAAAAGATGCCGCACTAAGAAGGTGAAAGCACGGAGTCGGTACATCCCTCGGCAATATGAGATATTTGGCTAACAGGCGTGTCTAGCTGGCTGTTCTACCTGCAAGAGACGCGTGAGTCGCAGTCTTGTCGTAACGAGAACTCCATTATAAGACTAACTTTAGAGAAAAGAAGGTGAAATGTGATGAGCAGCTGCCAGGATGTAAGAGGTGCGCCAAAATCGGTGTCGAATGTCCCGGCTACCATAAGCCTGTGAAGTGGTCAGTGAAGTATGAGAGGCACATGGTTCACTCTTCACCGGCTGCAAGTAACTCTTTTCCTCGTTTCGACTCAGGCGTCAGAAATTTATCAAACTTAATGCAGCAGAACTCAAACCCTGGAAGCGTCGAGACTCAGAACAACAATGACGATGAAGTACAAGCTCCTGGTTCTCTCACGCAAGGTTCTAGTTCTAGTTTATTTGATGCCAGGGAGCACTTAGAGGACATTTTAGAAGTGCAACCACCCTCGACGTTAAATCCAGGGCAACTATTGACGTTGTGCGAAGACGTCCAAGCCGATGAAGAATTTCCCCTCGCGCTCAATGCCTTACATGATGACTCTCTTTGCCTGACCTCCTACACCCCAACTCTACAAGCATCACTCATCCTGGATCACTACTTTACCACGGTTTGCCATTTCAACTCATCCTTCGACTCGGCGAATAACCCGTTCCGATCAGAAGTTTCCAGAATGATGGCCGACTCTCCACTCCTCTTTGGTTGTGTGTTGAGCATGTCAGCAGCGCATTTGTACCAGGGTGACAAAAGCAGCAGCTGTATTCCACTGGAGTTCCAGACTGAGGCAATGTCACATCTTTCACACACATTGTCTGAGCTTCCTACAAGAAAGGAATGCGAGGTGGATGACAACCGGCCTACGGCCTTGGTATCTCGGGAGAAGATTCTAACTGTTTCGGATGACTTGCTCTTGAGCATTATATTCTTGGGCATGACCGCGGTAGGTATATCCGCTCCTTGAATCTCATCAGAACTGACATGTTAATTCGTTAGGCTTGGCATGATGTCTCTGCAACCGGTCTGCCACATCTCCATGGGTCACGTCAATTATTCAGGTCATGGATATCATTAAATAACCTGACAGATATCGATAAAAGAAGAAAAATGACGACAACACAAACATTCGTGGTCTCATCCATGGTATATTGGGAAGCTATGAGCTCAGCGCTCTTCGACCAGCAATACGAAGGCCTATCACATCTCACCATGTTTTGTGACCCTCACCCCCCAGCACTCATCCAGCCTTGTCCATGGACTGGTGTTGCAACACCCATTTTTGTGTTTCTTGCAAAGACGCTAACGCTGGTGCGGAACAACCAGGCTCTGAAGAGCTTGTGGGTTTTTGAATCTGGAGAGATCCATCGAAGGGCCTTGTACGGGGAACTACTTGCCAAAGCAAATAGTCTTGAACGTGAGATCTTGAGGTATCGACTGCCTTCTCTTGCACTCATTGACGACATTGGAGACCCATGTACAACGCCTGATCACTTGCTGGCTATCTCTCGCTGTTATCGCATGGCAGCCCTGCTAGAGCTCTATTCCGCATTCCCAGAATTCACAAGGACAGAGGGTAGACCAGACGGTGCTATTGATCTGGATCGCGGTGATGAAAAGACACACCTAATTATGGGACTGGCATTCGGCATATTAGAAATCCTGGAAAAGATTCCAGATGACTCAGGGACAATATCGATACAGCTTCTGTCACTACTGATCGCTGGAAGTTTCCTGGGGCCCAAATCACCAAGGGGGGAAGATGAAGGACCAAAGAGATTGGAAACACTTCGGTTGCGAACATTTGTTCGGCAGCGGGTTCACAAGATGTATGAGGCTGTCCGTTTGGGGCCGATTGGAAATGCCATGGTTATACTGGAGGAGGTTTGGGCGCGTATGGACATGTTGCCGGCAATCCAGAACGCGAACTCCGCGATATCGAGCTTTCACTGGATAAATATCATGTCGGAGAAGAAATTGGAAACAATGTTTGGATGACCAGGCTAGACTTAGGTAACTTAATATAATCTAGCCCAAGTTTAGGATAACCTTTACTAAATTTATTCCGATAACCTATACCACCACAAGACCCCCGCCTTTACAATCTCGTCGGTCATGCACTTCACGTGAAGTATCAGACTTAGAGTTGACATGCTCGCTAGGACGTGCGAGGATATCATCAAACCGGTCCTTCCACTCGTCCAGATCGTTGTGGTCAATTGGACCGTTGTTATGGGCGTTGGTATCTTACCCGTGGTCATGCTCGCTAGGACATGCGAGGATATCATCGAACCGGCCCTTCCACTCGTCCAGATCGTTGTGGTCGATGGGACCGTTGTTATAGGCGTTGGTATCTTACCTGTAGTCATGTTTGCTGGGATAGGCGACGTTATGCACTTTACATAAAGTATTAGATTTAGAGTTAATATACTTACTAGAATAGGCAATATTATATACTTTATGTAAAGTATTAGATTTAGAGTTAATATACTTACTAGGATAGGTAGTATTATATACTTTATATAAAATATTAAATTTAAAGTTAATATACTTATTAAAATAGGTAATATTATACACTTTATATAAAGTATTAAATTTAGAGTTAATATATTTACTAAAATAGGCAATATTATGCATTTTATATAAAGTATTAGATTTAAAGTTAATATACTTACTAGGATAGGTAATGTTATATACTTTGCATAAAGTATTAGATTTAGAGTTAATATACTCGCTAGGATAGATAAGGATATCGTAGAAGTGGTCCTTCCACTCGTTCAGACTTATGTTTTGGTCAATGGGACCGTTATTATAGGCGTTGGTCTCTTATGACGTGGTTATCCTCGCTAGGACATGCGAGGATATCATTAAACTGGTCTTTCTACTCGTTGAGGTCGTTAAGGTCGTTGTGGTCAATTGGGCCGTTGTTGTAAGCGTTTATCTCTTGCCACGCGGTTATGCTCGCTGGGCCGGGCGAGGACATCATGGAAGCGGCCTTTCTACTCGTTTAGAGCAAGAATATCATTAAACCGGTCCCTCCACTCGTTGAGGTCGTTAAGGTCGTTGTGGTCAATTGGACCGTTGTTGTGAGCGTTTGTTTCTTGCCATATTGTGGTCGATGGGACGGGCAAGGATATTATTGAAGCGGCGCTTCCACTCGTTCAGATCGTGAGGAAATAGGAGGATGTGGTAATGTCGGCGATCCGTCACCGATGTCTTTGTGTAGAAATGACAAGAGGTGGTACGATAGTGCCGCCCATCTTGATGATTGCGAGTCTGGCTGAATGAATGAAAATGATGTTCAAGTTAAGTTGTAACATAACCCCGCGCCTCTATACGAATTTATCGGCAGCCACCTCCTGCTATTTCTGTACGACAGGGAACACCGACGATGTCATGACATCATCATTCATACCACCATCTCCTAGAGGAGTAAGAAAACGGCAGGCCAGGCCCCGACATCCAAGTTACCTAAGTATTTTATCATTTAGGAACGAAATCCTGTGTTCTCTTTCCTTCACTAGCCACAAGTTTCAGTCTAGTACCAAAACGGGTATAAAGTGCGAGTTCACTAAGCGTCGGAACGTCGGAATGACCACTTCGGCCATCTTATCATCAACCTCGTACATTTTGTCTCAATCAGGAAATGACCCATGAGACCTCCAGTGCATTTAAGATGACCGCGTTTCTATCAATGATTTTGAGCATGTCCTCACATATTCCTCTTGTCATTGGCATCAGCATCGCATCTAGTCATCATGCCAACTTCAAAAGAAGGTTATCTCTGGACCAGCAGCGGCCTCACAACTGGCCTTGAAACAGACTCGGTTATCAATGGTACGCCCGAGTCGGCACTCCTGGAGAAGTATGATGTTGTTGTCATCGGAACAGGCTTTGCTGGACTTATCGCCGCCCGAAACATCAGTTTGACCACTGGTAAGGTTCTTCTTGTCGAAGGTCGCGATCGCATTGGCGGAAGAACATGGACAGCCAAAGCTTTGGGTGAGGAGTTTGAGATGGGAGGAACATGGGTTCATTGGTGAGACCCTTGTGAAAAGGCTGATACATAGTTCTGATGCCGTGACTCTAGGGGCCAGCCGCACGTTTACTCCGAGATTCACCGCTACAATCTTCAGGGCAACCTCAAGACCTCAGCGGGAACAGCGGATGCTAAATACACAGCTTATACTGCAAGCTTTGCTGGTCCAACCAAGCTCGATACCAAGGAGACAAACCAAACAGTCCAGAGAGTAGCCGATGCTTTCTTCGACATTGACAGCTTGACCAGTTACGATTTAATGCCATATCCCCACGATCCATTGCGCGAACCTGCGCTATGGAAGAAATATGAGCACCTCTCCGCCAAAGATCGCCTCGACCAGTTGAACATTCCTCAGGTCGAGAAGGACATGTTTGATGCCATGATCAGCTCTTTTGGCTCTGTGCCAGGTTCGCAATGTGGTTTTGTCGAAGTGCTGCGATGGTATGCACTTGGCGGCCATTCCATGGCTGGCGTTTTCGAGCGTGCTGGGCTTTGTAAGCTTGGAAATGGCGGCATGACATCGCTGGCACTGTCGATATTGTCCGAGTATAGGGGACATTTACTGTTCAATACTGTTGTTGAGAAGGTCGACCAGAATGGCAATGGGGTAACGTTGACTACAAAGAACGGTCGACGTATCGAAGCCAAATATGTGATCTCGACTATCCCTCTGTGAGGACCGCTCATCCTCGTTGTAGCTACAACTGAAAGCTGACAATTATTCAGGAACTGCTTGTCGGATATCTCGTTCAATCCTCCTCTCTCGCCACTCCGCCAAGAGGCTGTCAAGGCAGGCCATATCAACCAAGGCGCCAAGATCCACTTCAAGTTGAAGCAAACCGAGCCTGGCTGGTTCGCTATGGCAAGCGGCTACGGGCGGTCCCCGTGGTGCTTTGCATTCTCTGACCACAACGGCAATACCAACAAGAACAACGGTACATATTGCATTGGCTTTGGCTATGGCGGGCACCTCGCAGACCCACAAGCTAGCGAAGATATCTCCGCAAGCTTTAAGGAACACATCAAACCTGATGCGGATATTGAAGCGTATCTCACCCACGACTGGATGAACGATGGTCTTGCAAAAGGGACCTGGAGCTGCTGGGGACCTGGCCCGGCTATGAGTCGTTGGCTCAAGGAGCTTCAGAAACCTCATGGAAGAGTATTCTTTGCCAGCGCTGACTGGGCCGATGGATGGAGAGGTTTTGTTGATGGAGCTATTGAGAGTGGTATCACGACAAGTATTAGTGTTATGAGGTTGTTATGCTGGGAAAGTTATTTATTTAAACTTTAATAATAAATCAAATAAATGAAATAAAGTATTAAAAATGAGTTTTATCAATCTTTTTTCCATCTTTTTTATTCTGTTTTCCCCTCTCCTTTTCCTGCTTATTTTCAATATCGTCTTGTACTTTTGCCATTTTCTTCCATTCCTTATACTGCTTCTTTAACACCTTTTCATGATTCTTTCTCTTTCGTTCATAGTCCTTCCATGCCTTCTTACCCATCTTTTTCTTTTTCTCCTTCCTGTATTTCTCTCCAACTCTCGTCTCGTAAGCTTGCGGTAGAAAATCGGGATTTGAATCCAATGTCGGTGGGTAACCAGGAGGTGGACAGTACATACCACTTGTCTGTCGCTTACCGTTGCAGTCCCAGTATTCATAAGCCATCGATCTGCATTCGTTGTTGTATCTACAGACATACCCGCCGCCGCTATTGTAGTGATTCGGGGCGACTAGATTAACTTGCTCACCATGGAAAACATGCAGGTACTTGTCCCAGGGCCAAAATTTCCTTCTTTTAGTCATTCGAACAGTGTCTGTACCATCAATTAGCATCTTGCTTATAGAGTATATACAAGTCTGTGACCTACATGCAGTGTGGGCAACTTTATGCCAAATGCAGACTCGTTCACCTGGTAGGGCATGGCAACAATGCCCATTCCCCGACGTGATGGCTTTCGAAACCGAGAAACCAAAACTGGCAAATTTGGCTATGCCGGTCGCAACGAATCCGTAGGTCCAGGTCCCCCCCTTATCTCTAGTAACAGTACAGGATTGGTTCTTCCCACACTGTACAACTTCCTATAATGAGTTAGCATCAATAACAGGAACAGAGAATAAGGCTAGAAGAGGAAAGCCCACCGAAACCTGCTTGTAGAGGTACCTCTGATGAGGCCATCCTTAATACAAATGTAAGTCAGGTCTAGTCCAGGTAATCAAGTCATTGTACTAACCAGCGCCGTCAAGGCTTGGTTCCCTTCTTGTAGAATAAACCCAGGCACCTATCCAACCCCCGCTTATCGGAAGCAATAATTGAGGATCTATTTTGGGCCTCTTGGGGTGAAAGCCTTCTTTCTGCCCACTCCTTGCTGGGGGTAAATCGCTGATACAACCAGATTCAATCGTTTCGTCTATAACATCATCATAATCCCAGTATAAGTCTGTGCAGTAGATAGAAAGGCGGTCATTAACAGAGTCAACATCTGTCATGCATGAAGGGCCTCCTGAAAACACAGGATCAGGCTGAATTGCGTAGGTAGCGTTCCCAACTGTGAAGTTCCCGCGTGTGACAGGTACGAGAGAAGGGCCCCCCCTAATGTAGTTTCCCAATACTGATGGTCTTGCGCCATCACCATTGACCATAACGTTGGAAAAGTCGATAGGCACTGTGGCATTGATAGTTCTACCACATCTCCCAGTAACAATGCCCCCATTTCTGGTAAGTACAATCAGAGAAGACATGCTTTTTACTGGGTCTAGAGTAAAAATAATGCTGATTTTCCCTGCAGAAGCAACAGAAAGAAGGAGAGAAAATGTAGAAAGAAACCGCATCTTCAACCTTAAGGGAAGGCGGGAATCTGCTCCTGTAAATGAGGTTAGGTTGCGAAGAAGATTTCACTATCCAGATACCTAATAGTACTTACCAGTTGGGACAGATGCTGTTAATAGTTCTTAAAGTGAATAAAGGCGTGGAGATAATGTCTTTTGTTAATTTGTTAGGAAATATTTATCAACATATTAACAGCTTTCGCGTGCCTCAAAGAACAGGTAATTATGGTATTTTATACAAGTTTCTTATCAGCACTCATAGAAGTAACTTTCAGGGCGGTTTCTTTTTACCCCTCACTTCATTTCAGGGCTGCAACCTTCACGCTCGTGAGTCACATGTCACGGGGCACTCTGTTGTCAGCAACAACAAAAGAAAGGCCGAGGTCAGTCACGATCTATCAGATAACAACAAAAGTTGTCCGATTCCCGGAAAGTCTGATTGGGTCAACTCCCAGGTGACTCTCAGTCGAGGTTCCTCTCTGGTTCGTGTTCGCGTACTTTTGGTGTTGGTCAATCTTTGCCTTGTGCTTGGTTGTCAAGAGAACCAAGTGTTCAGGATGATGTTGCAGCAAGGACTTTACTTCTCGTTATCGTTGTTGACGAGCATGAGTCTGTCTGTCTCTGCCCGGTCATCCATACTGTATAACTCGTTTCCGACGACAACGAGATTGACAGATATAGGATTAGCTGTAGACTGATGTTGATCAAGAATTGTAGGCCATTTCACCTCCTCAATCTTGGGAGTTGAGATGTTAATATGGTTAAATATGAATGGTATTGTCTTGCTTTTCATGCCATAGCTGTTTTTGTTGGGGAGTCGCGTTGAGCGATGAATTTCCATCAAGGTCGAGCTCTCCCTTGATTCAATTGCCACCCCCAGAAAACGACAGGAGGTTGTTGCTGTTGTTTGTTATTTGGGTTCAAGTCACAGCTCAACCTGACGATTTCCAGAGTCAACCCGCGCGGCTGGGTTATTTCTCCGCAAATTGACTTTCGTAAAGCCAAAAGGTCAACGCCCCCGTTTTCTGTTTGTGGCGGATACTCTTTGGTGAGAAACGCCGAACACGGACATCACATAGCCAAAGCTTGACTGCCCCAATGCCTCGATGTACTCGGTATCATTGTTGGCGCCGAGCAGTTGGCCTGATTGGGATGCACAATACATACCATGGCCGCCAAGCTTCCAACATCGCGCGTCTTGGATGCTCTCGTGTTCAGGGTTATTCGTTCTGAGGCTTCCGCCCGCTTTCTCAGTAGCGACATATGTCCGAACAGGTGCCGAAGTGAGCTTGTATGTTGAGAGATTTGTTTTGTTTCATGATGTCCGAGGCGGGACATGTACAGAGTGATTGGTACGTTGTGCACCCAACAGAGTCTGATAGAAATTTGCATAGAAGCGGCGAGAGAGTCGATGACAATGGAATGTTGTTTTTCGCGTGGATTGACCTTTTTGACTTTGGAGAAATGGAACACCTTCCCGTATTTGCTCCGCGAGAGTCGCAAACACGAGGTTTCGTATCGAAAGCTCTCGGCCGAATACCGCTCGGCAGTATTGGCTCCGAAACCTTCTCGGTGAGATTGAACGACACCTCGGTAAACACGGTACGCAGTGGGAGCTCGGCATCATGATATTCCTCATTCCGGCAGCTCGATGTTCCTTGCATGTTGCGACAAGAACGTCTCGCAAACGCCGGTAATAAATGTTCAGGCCACACTCCTTGGTACCGAGTACGCTAAGTGATACAGGGCTATTAGCAGACGCAATGAAGGTTGTCCAGTCAGGGCTTTTGAAATCGATTTCAAGACGCTTTCGTAACGAGCTGAGTCGTTGATATGAACCTCCCCAAGCTTGAATACTTGGGTCCACTGCTTGTCTTCAAAATCAGTGGTGCGGGATTCGTCGATGAGTATCTTCTAACTATCACAGAGATTCGAGTTTTTCAGACAGTCGATCACAATACAACGAAGGATCAATGCGAGGAGTATAATCTCATGGCAGCGCTCATCACCGATTCTTACATCCAAGGACCTTCAAGCATCTTTGACAACACCATTAGCAGTCCATTCACCTGTGACAACAAGATTGATAGTGTATCCCAAGTTTCACCGTCTCAAAGCTTCTCAGGCATCAATGTCGCGGAGATGGAGATGCTTGGCCATGTTGCGTGAGAAGCTCCTTGAGGCCGATGGACTGCATTTTGACAGGTAACTGGCCGGTACCTTTTGGGTGATTGGCGCGGCCGAACTCGATTGTTATGAGAATGACTTTTGTGCGACCTTATAATGCATGAGCTCCCCCCAAGTTGCCTCAGACAGAAGGCCGAGAATTAGCAGAGACCATTCTGCAGGGACTTAAGTAAATTCGTTGGATATGTGTTTTTAGTGAATCATATCGATTGTTTTGCAAATGCGTTTGACAATGACCGGCCATTGTGTAGCAACAGCATGCAGTAAATCATAATACTGATCCGAGACTGACTTTTTAAATAAGCATCTGCGCTTAGCTTCACAACTATTCATTCGAGCAACAATCACTTACAACTTGTCTTTATTCTTCACTACAAATTTCCACTTGGACAATTACCGTTGGGAAGATTGACAGTTCCTGGTATGTATTTATTTTGCTGGCATTGTGTTACGGTTCTTGATGAGAAGAAAGATGAAGGACGTCGCTTACAGCCAGTTCCGTCACTGATTCGCGCTCAACATGGAGGGTACTTATGGCATAACAAATCGGGCCAACAAGTGGGCGATGACTTGTTAAGTGACAAGTATACTCGCTTAGAACCCGACCAATGGGACGGTTTGCGCCGATTAGTGGCGCCAAATCTCCTTCCAGCGTCCGATTGGCACAAAGCTCAGTAAATTCCGACCTCGTTGCTTAATACAGGTCTAGACCATTCAATAGTTTCCAGCGCCAAAGCACCTAACATCAATAGTTTCCTCAGAACCCCTGACTAAATACGGCACAACGGCTGGCCGGTCAGCGCTAAAAGAGCTTGTAAAATGATGTACAGATTGCCATATTTATCCCCCGAAGCCCAAGTTTGCGATTTTGGTGGTTTCTGCTTTAAACATCCTGCATCGATAGACTATTTCAGTCATGATCGCCAAGAGTCTTGTTTTCGCTGTCCTAGCGGCTCACGCCGCTGCTGGACCTTGTAAGCCCGATGGGGTTTCGTCCAACACGCTCTCCGTCAGTACTTCTGAAACAAGCATCTTGGATTCAGTGACTACAACCACTTCTGAGCAAGCCACGAGTACGACAGAGGCAGCTGCCACTACGACGAGCGCATCCGTACCCGCTGGAGAGGCCATTATCCTCCAGGTCAACCCTCGACGTCGGCTATCGAAGCGCGATACAACATTCGTGGGCAGCAACAACCCGACCGAATGCACCTTTGCCTCTGTCTTTCACCTCGACGGGGGAAAGCTTTTGGAGAACGGAGTGCCTATTTATTATGCTGGCAGTGGCTATCAGGAACTTGCTGCCCAGGGCGAACCGCCAGCAGATTCTGTCACGACGACATTCTCAATTACTGGGGGTCGTCTTTCGTGGACGGATTCGTCGTTTGGTGAGGCTGGCTTCTGTCAAACCGAGTCTGACGGGCAGGTGTACATCACCTTTGGGTCGGAGCCTGTTGGCTGTGAAGCTGTGACTCTCACGGCTTACAACGGTATGCAGAACCCATAGCTTCAGTACAGTATTTTACTAATGTGATGATGCAGAGGAACAATGCCAGAATGGACAGATCGTCGGAGTCGAAACGTCCAGCGCCGAGATAACAACTGCAGCAGAGACTACCGCCTCGTCCGATGCTGTTCAACCGACCACTTCTTCTGATGCCTGTTTTGTCGGCATTGATGGCTTGAACGGCGAGCCTCCGCGAGAGAGCCGTCTTGCTGACTGTTCGAGACTGAACACAGTCACGGTCAGCCCATACCCCGAGTAAGACTTCCGTGAATTCCTCTTAGCCACACACTAACATTTCCAGAACTTCAACCGTATTCAAGCGCGAAGTTGCGTTCCGCATTCCAACAGCCTTCCCGACCTGGCGGCCTGCGATGAACACTCTTGCAGCCCGTGCAGAGGGAGAACCAACCGCCACTACCATCCAGCCAACAGAGGTCCCTGTTTATGCTACGTACTGCGACTCTCCCGAGGAATACTACGCAGCTTGCTCTGAGGCTGGGATCACTGCGTTCACGACTACTCTTCCAACAACGACTACTTCGACGTCGACCACTGTCAGTGACTGTCCAGCGAAGCGACTCGTGAGGAGAGCAGGTGAGCATATGGGATATGAGTTTGAGGATAATTGGGATGCGCATATCATGCCGGGATATAAGCTGTTTTAGACCGTCCCTCCTAGATAATTCAGATGTCAATACAACATACATATTTCTGTTCAAGTAATACCCGGATGACCATGAAGAAGAGGAATAGCGTCATCTGTCAGCAATTCGTGAATGCGGAGCACAGCTCTTAACACTTGGATGGACCCCTAGCTTTTATGACTGATAAGGCTGAGCCTCTTCGGCGGTGGCGAAGCAACTAGCTCGGGCGCATTTTCAAGGATGATGACAGTGAAGGTCCACTGTCACTCGCTCGCAGAGGCCTTTAGCGCTCCCACCAAGCTTTCAGCTCAGTGGCACGAACACCAGATCTGGTAACAACATTCATGCATCACGGCCCTTGACCCAAAATGAGGGCCTGGAGTATTTATTCTGAGTCATTCCCCTTCTTCTGTCGCGGGCGACACCTGCTCACTTATTCTTTGTTCCCTCTGGTGATGCTTGCACGATCAGTACACCAAGTTGTAAAGCGATTTATAATTGCCAACCGCGTTAGACCTCGATTCACAATTCTCATCCCACCAAAGACCGACTGTTCATTGGCACGCCGACATTTCATCACCATGAACAGCACACAATTGACCACCCTGGACGAAAAGGCCTTTGCAGAAAAGGTGCCGACAATGCTCTGGTCAGATCGAGAGACGCTATTCGAGGATGGAAGCGAGGATATCGACATTATCAGGTCCCGCGCATCAGAGCCTGCAACCGTTGAAGCCGTCTCGTCTGTCCTTACTTCTCGCATCGAGGATGAAGATTATGATACATTGAGGGTGCATCAGAAAGCATTGTACTCTGTTCTTTTAAAGCTCTCTTTCGAAATGCTCCAGCCCTATCGACCGGCTTTGGCTGCACTCGCTGCATTTGACATCTCAGGCTTCTCTCATCGCTCATCTCATTACGCTCAGACTTCTATCCTTATTCAAAACGCTGGTCTTCTTGAGCGCTTCGCCGCAGATTCCAAGGCGGTGTGGGTCACCAAGGACAAATTCGACATGGTCAGCTATCGCACGCTTACACAGCGTGTTCACACTGCTGAGGAGATGAAACCATATATGCCTGAGCTGTTTGACTGGCTTGTTGACGCGAATAACCCGCCGTTTACGCCTTGTCGAGACCAGCTTGCTCGGTTTCCTGAGACTGCTGCTGTTGTTGCAGCGGACGTTCTGGCCAAGGCAAATGAAGAGAAGGATACGGAATATCAGCACTTCTTGATTGATTTTGTCTATGATCGTGTGCCTGTTGGGGAGAGTTGGAGACCAATGCGAGAACATGTTCAAGCGCTGGTGAAGCAGTTGGAGGGGAGTACAGATGAAGATGATGAGGACTTGGCTGCTGAGGCGAACGACTGGCTTACGAGATTGGAACAGTGGGAAGCTTCGGGGAAGGAAAAGAACTAGTTCTCATGTTGAGTTTCACAAGAGATTTCACATTTCATTGAAATATTGAACATCTACTCAAAAACTCTAGAGGAAGAACATTTTTGGCTCATGGTAGAGTTGCTTGCGACTTCTCAACGAACACCAAAGACTTCAACTTGAAACACTGAAAATATCAGCCAAAGAACTACTCTGTCTCTTAGATTTATAAGATGTCATTAGTATATCCCTTCAATCTAGTATCCGAATACCCATTTGAACCTCAAGCTCGGATGGACGACTACCCTGGATCCGAAGAGAATTTCGGAAATGTCAAACTGCATGATCAACCAACATCCGAAACTGGAGACCCGCACTTGCATACGAGGCTCAGATTGACCATCTCCCAGATTCTTCTTCTTCCGACATCCTTGCTCCTTTCCCCCGGACGCAGATCGGGACTCACAAGTCAACGATGACTTCTCCACCGTTGAAAGCGGATAAGCTTATCAGCAAGTGGCTCGCAATTCGCTGTCTGTTGAGTATCCCCCATCTTTACCCCGCAAGCTAGAATCAATTTGGGTTAAGGTCATCACGGAAATCCGCCGTCAACTCGAGATGATAATTCCGGAACGAGCCTCGACCTATCACTACCGACAAAGTGTTACATAATGTGGCTTCTGTACATATGGCCTGACCAGTCACTCAAGGGCCATTCGTAACTGTTCCGATCTCATGTGTCAATGCACGTAAGCACCCGTCTTCCGACTCGGATCTTACCATCTTGTCGGTTCGCCTATCATCACTTGACCCTCTTCATACAATCAGTGAGTATAAGATACAGCGTGTATCTTGGATGGTTGACGATATCACGACCTGGCTGTCAGACACTTCACCCCGTACGAGAGAATAAGAGATACCCACAAACATGGCGGTTGATGCAAAGACTGACCATGTCGATGTCCTCATCGTTGGAGCCGGTCCTGCTGGTCTCATGATGGCGACATGGCTCGCCAAATGTGGCATCAAAACACGCATCGTCGACAAGAGAGGAACAAAGGTAAGGTCACTTGTCTCTTACTGCATGCTCAACTGACACACTTGCAGATTTTCAATGGTCAAGCAGACGGTCTTCAGTGCCGAACGCTCGAGATCTTCGACTCATTTGGCTTTGCACATCGAGCTTGGATTGAATCTAATCACATGCTCGAGATCTCCCTTTGGAACCCTGATGAGAAGGGCGTTCTTCGTCGAAGCTCAAGGATTGCCGATACCATTCCAGGCATCAGTCGCTTTCAACAGGTTGTTCTTCACCAAGGTCGTATTGAAAGATTCTTCCTCGACGCTATCGACGATTTCAGCCGGGGAAAGATCGAAGTCGAGCGAGGAGTCATGCCAACGAGCTTAGAGATTGACCCCAAAGTTGTTGAAGACCCAGATGCATACCCAATCACT